TTGCTCCTCTAGAACTTGCTTGTCCCTCTGTGATGTTTAAAGACGACCTTTAAAAGGTAAGATGTCCCTAGAGGACCAATTGATTTGGTCTTACCTCTCTCCCTCCCCATAGTTTCCAAGACTGGGTAGGCTGAAAGTGGAGAGAGACTTGAAAGAAGAATTTCAGGAGTGCAATTTGTATTCTTAAAAAGTCTAGTACATTCTTCTTTTTGGGATGGAATTTATTTCCTTCCCTCTACTATTTCCGACTTCTCTAAAAGAAAAAAAAAAACCAAAACCAAACAAAAAAAAACAACAACCACAAACCAAAAATTCTCAACGAAAAGCTACAGGGTTAAGTTGCTAAACTCTCAGTAATAAGGAAGATCAACATTAAGATTTTCTATGCAGCTTTAATGACAAGCTCTTGTGCATGTTCATGATGATACCATTATGATGCCATTACTCCTTATGTAACTAAAACCTATATTTTGTACACAGATCTTCCTCTTTTTTCTCTTAGCAACCTTGCAGAGAGTAGGAGAGAGTTATTTAAGGACTCAAAAGGAAGTCCACAGAGGGTTTCTTGCACTGGGTAAAGAAGCTGTGCATTCATTAACAATGAAGCAGTGTTTCTGAAATCCAGGATCCAGAACCTCTCCTGTCCTTGCCACAGAGCCCTACTATTGCATGAAGCAAATAATTAGTAATCTTCCTAACATCCTTGTGATGTTATTACTTGTCCTATTAAGAGCACAGGGAAGGTCAGCCATAAATGTTTACAAGTTACTCAAGAGAGTTCACCGCCTTTATCCCCAGCTGAGTACAGAGCCTGGACGATACACGGTGGGCAATACATGCAAACACAATAAATAGCCAAAAAAGGAAAAAAGGCTGAACTTTCATCTCATGTCATGTTTGTCATCACTGAAGACTGAATAAGGCAGGCTCTAAAGATAAACAGTATTCACTAATGTCATAAAACATTTTGTCAAAATGCAGACATAAAAGTTGCTGATTTAGATCTGGCTTTTCATAGCTTTGGCATCTCTGGAGCTGCAGCAAAGCTCTTTGAACACAGAAAATTCTGTGATGTGTGCTGTACCACATAATCCTGTCACTAAAAGCAGCTTCAGTTTGCATGTGTTGTGCAGAGCTCCCGAAGCTGGCTGCAGAACAGGGGTGGAAAACTCTGTCTTTAAATGGTCACTTTCTGCCTGAGAAACTGTAGCAAAACAGTTCCTATGCCTTCAGTAACAACTTCCATGTTCCTTCTTCCTTTCCAAAAACTAACCTCCACCAAAAGTGCAAAGACTTGCCTGAGGAACACACTAGGGAGAGAATAACTTTTGGTTTGTCACTGAACATGCACTTTTTAATTCACAGCATATTCTTGCTGTTGCTTAAAACTCAACAGGATTGGAAAAATAAATATGAAGCAACCGCAGCTGACTTTCTGAAATTTCTTTAGACAAAATAAAGAGTCTATCCTCTTTTGTGTCTTAAACTTTTAATCTTTTTTCAGTGTATGCAGGAAGAAAGAACACAACTTGTGTTAAAGTCTTCAATTCCCTATTTTGATTCTCTGTTCATTTGATGCAGTGTCATCAGCAGTGCCATTTCTTGCAATTAAGACTTGTGATTTAGCCAAAGAAACAATTAATTTGGTTTTCACTGTAATAACACATTTTTCGTTTAGATTTCTACAAGCTTTTGTATCTAAAAGCAAATGGCTCAAAGCTAAACAAGAAACTTAACTGTCTTGTAATGCTGTAGGTAGCATTTTAGAAATTTTTAAATATAAACATATGCTTCTGGCAAAACCAGTGCTGTATTCACACTCCTCCTTTAACTGTAGAACTGATTTTTTTTCCTTGATGCGTATTTACATAAAAGACACTTTCGTTTAGCAGTATGAGCCAAATCCTAGCTGATATGTTTGAATCCGTTTCATTACTTTTGACACCCATCTAGTGGACAAAACGTAGTATCACAAGATAAAATTCCTGTCACAACAGCCAAGTGCAAGTCTTGCACACACTTGTAGTTACTTGGTGATGAAAACCACAGGCCTCTCCCAGCCGATGAAACTGCAGTTTTATCTAATAGGCTACTAAATTCTAAAAACTCAATACGACAGTGAAATCAGTTATAGAAGCCTGTCTTAGTTTCTGACTGCGAGAAGTAAGACTGGTAACAAAAAATTCATATCGTGTCTGTAAAAGATGGGTGAAGAAAATAAAACAAATCTGCAAACAAAACTATAAATTCCTTTAATCCAATAAAATACCTTTTAATCAGTTGAATAATTATGTTCACTGGTAAAGCAATTAATTTAAGAGTTATTCATTCAAAATTTTCCTGCTGTGAGACAGATTTACATTTACCTTCATTTATTTCTCTCCTAATTTTAACTTTTGTTTTAGAGCTCTCAGAAAAGCTTATGTATATTTGAAATGATACTGCCACTGCAGAACATACTGAGAACAGGAGTAAACAATTCTTTTGTATTTTACCTAAAATTTCATGAAAGATCTGCCCTCAATGGAAAAACAAAACATACAGACTATGTATTGCTTAAGAGTCTGTGTGTTCTTGCAGCTGTTTACAGAAAAAAAAAAAAATTATTTAGGCAATTAAATAGAAATAGAAGTATAAGGAAATTTGGATACAATATGCTCACAGATGTTCCAAACCCTTCATTGGCATAGTATTTTGTGGTCCTGGAATATTCAGGAATTCGAATTCAAAGATATTGATTGCTAGTGAATAGTAGTAGTGATGCTAGTAGTAATGGCAACATGGTTGTTAATTGATGGCACTGTAATCTGCAAAGGATTGCTTACTGAAATATTCATGCTATCTTGCCCTTTCCAATATTTTTATATGTGTTTTTTTGTAAGCAGATCTTACTGATCACAAAGATGCAATGAATATGGAAAATGAAATGCAAACAGGAGCTTTGCATTGTCCAAGATCACTCAGCAGGCTGGTGGCAGAACTCTCTTTTGGTGTCTTACCCATTAAGATTTGTTAGCTTGAGATGGATAATGTCATGTAGTAGTCATCTGAGGACACAGAAAAAGTATTCAGGCACAATCAAAAGAAACCAAATTTGGGAAGAAGTGTATGTGCTAGGGTTTACTAACAGTGAATTGTTCTGAAAACTAGAGTGAAAAGAAGACTAATATGCTAAGCTTTTTTGAAGTTTGTTTCTTACCATTTTCTGAATTTTTTTAAAATATTATTTTGCTTTTCTACATTCAAACTGTGAAAGGTGAATAAAACATAAATACTGTAGCCTGAGAATGGCAGAAAGCTTGCAGTTCCAGTAATATGTGCCAAGTAACAACGAAACAATGAAATAAAACATGAAACCAAGGTCCATTCTCTGCCAGGCAACATGCATGTCTGTCAAAATAGGCAATATATGTTTCTGGCCGTGAGAGTGCTGTCACCTCAGTAAAACATTGAAGCGGCAGCCTCGCTGCAACCGCAAGTCAATGGTAGATCACAGCAAGAAACAATCATCTAGTGCAGAGTAACATGTACTTGCTGTGACACCTGCACCAGGCTGAAGTTTAATCAACAGTGGACATGTACTGAATATTTTTTCTTCTGCTGGATTAGATACAATTGAAAACCTGCGGGTGTCCTTCACGTGAATGCTTTTTTCAAAATGAGTACTTTAGGTGCGTTCATTACAAATGAATATTATGATGCTATCACTTATTCACATTTAAAAATCATGTGAGAGATCTTCTGTTCATCCCTCATTCCTAAATGCTTTAGCAGTATTATTTAAGTTTCCATTAGTATGGCAAACGAGCCTAAGTTGTTATAAGCCAAGGTCTCGTGCACACCTTTCCTACTATGCTATAAAACTAAAATTGATCTTCGATTTTAGAGACACAATCAGCGAGGGAAACAAAAGCCATCTTCCACTTCTGGCTGGATATAATGTGCTCCATCCCATCAGATGGAGGCATAATCTTGCAAATCCACACATTTGTGACCTCTGAGATTGCATATCACAACACACGAAGTCTAGAAATGGAGCCACATGCTCCAAAAAAACGCCATATGGTACCGAATGCAGCTGTCGAGCTGCTAAGCAACACAGGTTACCATGAGCACGTCCTCCCAGCACTGCCACCCTGTGCTAGTTTCTAATTGATTGTGGACTCCCATTCAAGGTCTTTGCATTGATTTTCAAAGCCCTCTGTGGAAACGTCACAGACTATTTGAAAGAGCATCTCCTTTCTCCTTCTCTTTCTTTCTCTCGCCTCACACTTCTGCCTCTCATGATGTTCCCTGGGAATGAAAAGCCTATTTACTACTCCTAATACCAAATAAAATAGCTAGAAGTGGTGGATCTAAGTTGCGTAGATCAAAGACGTATGGCCACAGAAGTCATGCTGCTTGGCAGCGAGCAAAGGACTAGTTTCTTTGATATGGTTGTAAAATAGCAACTCTAATGCATGCAGACATGCCCAATACGCCTTAATCCTGACCCAGTGCTTTGTTTATTGGGGTAAGACAAAATATGTTCTTAAAATATTTGGGTGGTAATGTTTGGGTAGTAATGAAATATTAGAGTTAAGTACTTGATAACAAAAGAGCCCTCAAACGCCTCAACAGTGGGAGACAGGCTAATGAGGGTCCAGCTAAGGAGAGACGGGGCCTGAGGAAGAGAACAGTGAAACATCATGTTTCCTCAGGTACAGAGCCTGTGGATACTTTGCATGCAGAGAAGCATAAGGCTTCTTGTATTCCTAATAGTGCTTTCTTTGTCCACCAAATTTCTTTTCCTTTAGACTTGATCTTTTTTTTTATCAGCAATTTTAAAGTATATTTCTTGTATGCCTTGTTTCCTGGCTTAGCAGTACACTTGACTAGGTCTTTATTTCCTCATTATTACCAAGAATCAATTATCTAGTGATAAATTTGTCAGAAAAATGTTTATTACTTACAAAATTCTTATGTCAATGGCATAAACCTTTTCTCCTTTCTTTTTGCAGTTTCGATGTAGACAATGGTACATCATCGGGACGAAGTCCCCTGGATCCCATGACGAGCCCTGGATCAGGGCTAGTTCTTCAGGCAAATTTTGTCCACAGTCAACGTAGGGAGTCTTTCCTTTACCGGTCAGACAGTGACTATGACCTTTCTCCAAAGTCCATGTCCAGGAACTCCTCCATTGCCAGTGATATGTAAGTATATTACAAAATACTTTTAGCCTATGTTCTGTCCTCTGTCTTAAGATTTTTCCAGCCAAAAGAAATTTATTTTTAAAATCAAAAATATGTTTCTGAAGTCATAGATAATTGTCTGTTTATTTCTCTAATGAAGCTTGTACTTGTTTCTGCAGTTTGCTGAAAGTAAGGATATCATGAGAGCGTTCTTGATGTGTTTACGTACTTTTTCAGCTTTGACAGAATAATGAAGACAGTCAATACTGATGTTTCAAAACACTAAGCAGAACTCTGATTTCAAGGGTATTAAGTTCTTTTCAAGAGAAGCAATACAAACTCAATTTCTACTTCTTAATGTTTTTAAGAAAAAGATTCCATTTATTTGCACTAGGTGTTTTTAGGTTTCTAGGAAAAGATACACCAGATGGCAGAAATTAATAAACTCAAGAGAGTCAAAAATTATTTCAAATATTTTGTTAATTAAATGACAAAATTTTAACAAAAGGTCTTTGGAAAGTTATTCTGTCCTCTCTGACTGCTCTTCTGTTACGTGTGTATTTTCTGCTAGTGGGCCATACTTTTCATGTATGTGTAGACCTCAGGTTGCATGGTGAGTGGAAGTCACATGCAAATCTCTGTTTATTTGTAAGACACTAAATACATATTAAATGGTTTCTAGTCACTTGTAAGTAGTAGAAATTAAGAATAACTAAGGGGATTTTGTTGGGATTTTGTCTTATCTGCTCCAAATTTCACTGCCAAGTAGGTGTTTATGGTTCAATTTTGAATCACTAAAACAAAGGACCAGGTTTGTAAGCGTTCCCTAGTGAACGAGGAAGTCTAAAGCATTAAAAATCCAACATGAATATAAATACTGGTTTTTAATGAGTCAAAACCTAATCAATATATCCTCTTTAAAAAATAAGTCAGTGCACACAACAAAGGAGAAAGGTTTTTGTAATAATGAGTGAAATTTAACTTGATACTGAACTTGCAGTCATTATAATTGAACAGTCCTATTTTCAGCTTATATATCATTATTAGAAATGTTGATTAGTCCATCTAATTATAGATCTCTTCCTATAAAAGTGTCACAATGAGATAAATTCATGCCTTTAAAGAGGGTCTGTGTAAGTCCATACCTCAGTTAAGGCCCGTAGATTGAAGCACTTAGTAACCTTTGTGCCCAGTGTGACCAATTTTGATTGAGACAAAGTGAATGAGAAAAAGACCAATCCATCTTGCCTTGCCTTAAGGAGAAATACATTTCATTTCCAAGCAGTAAGCCCCTTCCAGCAAATCTTCCTCTGACAAATAACCTTTCTTTTAGATGGACAAGAGTCAAGCTTTTAGTGTGCCACCTGTGCCAGGATACCATTTGGAAAGACTTTTATGTTTGAAGGGGCAATCCAGGTCGCTGTGTTGCTTAGATGAGTCATTTCAATTAAGAATTCAATTAGTGCTCCATCTTTGAACTCATAATCCACTTCTGCATTTCCTAGAATTCTGCATAATATTTCAGCACGTGACAGTAATTGGATAAACAATTGAATTACTGAAACACTAAGCACACATTTTCCTTTGGATATTTGTATCTATTTTTCCTTTCCCAATTTTCTTAAAAATACATCTGTATGTAAAATTTACTGGACCTCGCATCTGAAACGATTTCCATGGTCTCCTGTCACATAGAAGCTGTTGTACTAAGAAGGCAAATATTCCTGCCACTGTTTAGGATGGAAGCACATTAGGAAATGTAAAAGGCAAGTTGTTTTAACCATGGAACATTAACCATCTGTCTGTAAGACTAATTATAATAAGCTTGATTTTTTCACAGAAATAAAGTAAAAGAAAACCAAGGAATGAAAGACGGGAAAGTTTAAAAAGACAAAATAGCGGGGGCGGGGGGGGGAACACAAATGAAAAAATACCACAAAGCTTTTTATATGTGGGTTCAAGGAGAAACTGATGTGCTCATGGAAAGGAAACCCACCGAAGTTTATTAAAATAGGGAAACCACCGCAGTTCAAGACATTCCTAAATGAGAGGGAGGCTGGAACGCTTGTCAGGGAAAGTATCACACAAATTTTAGATTACTCCTAAATTACCCTATTTCCCTTTTGCATATTTCTTAAGCATGAGCAAAATATATTACAAAACATATACATGATTCAAGTAGTGTAGGTGAATTAATTGTGCATAACAGTTTAACCTAGAAACCACTGATTCTTCAGTACTTGAGTTACCAACCTCAGTATTTCACTTCATAAAGCAAAATAGAAGGCGCGCATCTTTTATTTGGAAGGAATATAACATAAAGATTTCTGGCATTTCCATTACTGTCAAATAGTGTGCTTACAATAATACATTCCACTTCAGTAGCAGCAGATGAAACAAAAACATAACTTCAAGATTTTAGTCAAATCTGGAGTGTCGTGATCAAAGACAGCCTGTGGATGGCAGTGCTAAAGTACTGAATTCATCATTCTGTCATTATTTATTATTTGTGCTGCTGTAGCAGCTCTGAGCTCCAGCTGAGGAAGGGAACACAGTCACACTCAGTTCTTTGCAAACCCAAAAAGAAAAGATGGGCTCTGCCACAAACAACTTAAAGTCAAAGCCTAAGATGGTAACTGAAAGACTAACACAGTCAGATACTGTCGCCAGGAGAAGGTACAACGTGAGTCCCTATGCCTAAAGTACTAAATCTTACAGAGCAACCAAAGGGAGGTTTACTCAGTGAGTTGAGATGGGAAATAACAGAAAAAAGGGTAAAAAGGTGGAGGTGGAAAGTGGAGACTAAAGTATGTTTTAAAGTGAGGAGCCACCTTAGGTAAGAAAAACAATAAAAGACAGAATGAGCGAAAGGCTGCTCAGTTGAAAGAAGGTTAATGGGACAAACATGGATGCACTGAAAGAGACAGATGAGCAGCTGTATGATAAGAAAGGGGAAAAAAACCAACCAAACAAACAAATAAAAAGTAGTGGGAGTCAGTAACGTGGTTTTTCCAGTTATTTCTTGGCAGAGATAGCATGGTCCTAGACAAGGAAAAAAGCAGAACGTGTAGATGATATGAGGAGATAAGAAAAAGCCACTCAGCGTTGTGAACTAGAGAAGCAGATTGTTTAGACAGGAAGATGAAATGTCCAAGGCAGAAGAGCAGAGATGTGTTGTGAAGCCTGGCTATGAGATTTCCAGCAGAGAGATGAGGATATGCAAGAGAATGAGAAGTGGATGAGCAAGCCGGAGAGGATCAGTGAGCCAACATGAGGAATTACAAGACAGGACCTATGATGACAGACAAGAATATAAGTTTAAAGAGGAGGAAAGTAAAGAATAGAAAATTGAAAATAAAAAAAAAGAGTCTCCAGCAGCACAGTTGCAACACTGGGAAAAAAGGGAACAGAAGCCGGGTGAAAGATGAAAGAAGTCATCAGTGTTGTACTGAAAAAATTGTCAGGTTTACATACGAAGGCATCAGTGAAGCAGAAAGCTCTAAATGTGGGTGTCTTGCAGAGATGGCCTGATTACTTAATACTCACCTGTTTGAACTGCTGTTGCTGCTCAGAGCATGCAAATGCAGACAGGGGCGACAGTGGTAACACTTTTTATGTCTTTCTTGCTATGGGATCACTGCTTTGATTAACAGAGCATGAGATCAACTTTGTAGAGAATCTCTGTTTTAGCAAAACACAGGTCTCTAACCAGGTCAAAAAATGTATTGTTCAGTTAAATCATTAGCACTTTCCTGAACGCTAGAAGGAAGCCAACAAGCAGTCCACTAGCTTGGAGCCCACCTTTCCACTGCCAGTCCAGAGGGAGAAAAGCATTTGTAGTCCCCCTGTGATCCTGAAGAAGCAGACCAGAGTGCAGCAGAACAGACCAGAGGACCAAGACTCTAAGTACAGCAGTCTGTCTGAGCTCCGCTCTGTCTTCCAAATGTATCTAAGGGAAAAGGTATGTGACAATAAGCACTGCTATAGTCTATCCTTTTCCCATTTCCACACGGTCACAGAACACATCTTGGTGGCAACGTCCTGGTCCTTCCAGGACTTGACCAACCAAAACTCACTCAGTAAAAAAGCATCCGGTGTGAGGAGTTTTAAGGGCTTCTTTAGAGAGACTTGGAAGTGTTTCCTCAATCGGGTGAAATATCAATATAAGCTTCAATCAGTATAATTACACAAGATTTTCTAATTTCTGTTAAATCTTGCTTCATCTTTTAAGCACCATAACCCAGCCAGGGAACACTGACTGTAGGGGAACTGCAGGGTCATTGGCCTGGTGATCTTCTAAATGGCCAAATGGCCACCAGTACATTCCTTCCCCAAACTGGCCAGCCTGCTGCTGTTCTGTCAGTACCTCCTGTTGATACTAGCATCCCTCTGCTGCTGTCCCTGGTAAAACAAATGTCAAAAGGGTGCAATTTACTCCAGGAATTTTTGCCTGTAACTACAGTATTCTTATCCTGCATTCTCCTAGAGGATATACTGCTTTTTAGACTGTAGTTGAATGGATCTGTAAACCTTGGATCCACGTTTACTGCGGAGGGAGAAATCCTCTCTTTGAATAATAAAACCCAAATGTGGACTACTTTGGAAGAAAAAGCGCCTCTGTAGTCTGACAAACATGGATATTGACACACAGAGATTTGGGTTCTTTTGTCAGGATGAATTATCCCTTTCTGCAATAGGTGGAGAAATAATTGTGGGATTTTTAATTTGAGTGGGTATTTTTTTCCAAATTGAAGCCAAAATGATACGTAAGTTTGCAAATAATAAAAAATAACAGAATTATTTGGGCTGGAAAAATTCCCTTCAATAAAGCAAAATTCCAAGGTAGGGAGTTCCCTTGTTTGTCAGTGACTGGCAGGTCTAGTCCTGACCTGAAGCTGCAAACGAGCTGAAATATCCCTTTAACTGGCACATGGAACAACTGCCAGAGAAGAGAATTTTTGAGGTAAACTTGCACACATGTTTCCCAGCTCGCAACAGTCTGTTCAGCTTTTTAAAAAATT